TTCTTGATGGCGTTCTGTGCGGCTGCGTTAGTCGCCACCCGCAATCCCTCAGCCGCCTCCCTCAGCCGTTGCTGTTGGTCCTCGTTCTCCGGATAGGCGGCCGCACCCTGCACACATAGATGGGGGGGGTGGTCACCAGGGTGACATGTTCAGGTACGTGGGTCTCTGCCGCCGCTCTCTATGGATCTGATCGTCCCGCTTCCTAACGCTCTCCCTTCCCACATTTTTCTATTTTAGGACAATCAGGGGAATAAGGCCCTGAACCGGTTTGCTCAGTGACTAGTTAGTTATTGATCCAAAGATGAAACCAGCAAATCATCAAATAATGGCTACAATGGTGGAGTGCAGTATCTTTCACAAGCACAGGAGAGTCTTTCAGTTAAAGGAGGGACTCAAATGGCTCCCACAAGGCTGACACGCCTGTCGCTCTCCAGCGAGCAGACAAACAATCACGTGATCTGTGATCCATCGTGTAATGTGTCCTGATTACGCCGAATTAGGACAGAGAGGCACCAACCTGAAGCTTAATTCCCAAAAAGGCAGCTCACCCCATCGCCCCCTACTGTGTGCCCCACTACATGAGGGCTAGGGGGCACGAACCCCCCCCTCCGGCGGCCAAGCGCAAGCCAAAGCAGGACTGCACCCCCTGGCACAGTGTGTTCTGCTCTTCCAGCAGTTACCATGGAGAGGGTTGTGCAGACTGCCCCCCTCAGCTCAATGAAGACGCCAAAATCCACGACCGATGTGATGGATTGGGGGGCCGTCTGTCGTCGCTGTATTCGCTCCGGGTTTCCTAGGGCTCCTCGTTTACACGCTTCCGCCACAACGGCTAATCGAGGAGGCAGATTAACAATAAGCTCAGGCGGCGTGACTGTAAAAACCCAAGTGGACGTTCACGGCAGGGAGAGGGTCCAATGATAAGGATCAACTGGAAACCAGTAAACACAGCTTTATTGACCCCCAGGGTGGGTGACCTTTAAGGCATCGCCACACACATCCTTTTCAGATTTAATGAGGAAGCTGACACCTATGCAGAGTTATTAGGCATGACAGGGAGTGACTGAACTTCACAGGAAGGGCAGGGCAAGTCCATCCCATCTGACTGTATGGGGTGGGGGGTCACGGTGCCACGGTCACACACCCGAACCACCATGAGCCGCGGTGAGCGTTCCGGGCTGCACGTGGCATTTAGCAGACCGACCCCACCTTGCCTCCCAGCCCACGGGCAGCCCTGCCCACATGCCCCCACCTTTGCAGCCTCCACCATCTTGGCCGTGGCATCGGCCAGCAGCTTGGCGGCGGCCAGCAGCTTCTTGGAGTTGTCCACGTCGATCTCGGCCTCGGCGTCCGAGCGCATGGCGTTCACGAGGTCAGAGGTGGCCTGGGCCAGGACCCGGGCCTGGCGGACCATCTCCCCTGAGCGGGAGGAGAGGGGGAGGGACAAGAGGGGGGCGAGGAGGAGAGGGGAGAGGGAGGGAGAACACCATGTCAAGCTGTGCTGCTCACAGATTTCCACCCACTTAACTACATGAAGACCGTCTCTCCGAGCAGCGAGCAGCGAGCTCCTCGCTCCGTAGAGCAGGCATCTGGCAGCTAATCTCTTCCATGCCGGCTGTATCTGGGTCAGAGCGGGAATATACACCGCCACCCCTCCCCCCTCCTCAAATGTCCTTAAGGATCCAGGACAACTAGCATACCAGGAACTTCAAACAGGCGGCCTGAACATATGGATCCCTGGGGGGGGGGGGGAACCCACACACACAGTGCTGCATGTCCACTCAGTAGAAGGTTCCTCCCAAATCAGGAGCTTAAACACCTGCTGGGGGGGGGGGGCATATGTACCATGAGCAGGTCCCTTTTAACGGCACAATCCTGCCTAAACGTATCGGCACCTCGGTGAGGTTCCTGCCACCAGCCTCCTCTTAGGCTCACAGCCAGGTCAGGTGTCACCTTACAGCAGCTTCACAAGTGTGGCATGGAAATCATCCCAAAACAGATACTTCTGGTGCTGACAAAATATTCGAGAAAGACAGACCCAGTCTGTACTATGCTGGGAAGCCCAACATGTCACTAGAGTCAAAAACTTATCTGTGAATGTTCAGTTAAGCATATCTATGTATATCCTTCCAGATACTAACAGATCCCACAAGTCCTCCAGATCCCAACAGATCCCACAAGTCCTCCAGATCCCAACAGATCCCACAAGTCATCCAGATCCCAACAGATCCCACAAGTCCTCCAGATCCTAACAGATCCCACAAGTCTTCCAGATCCTAACAGATCCCACAAGTCTTCCAGATCCTAACAGATCCCACAAGTTCTCCAAATCCTAACAGATTCCACAAGTCTTCCAGATCCTAACAGATTCCACAAGTCTTCCAGATCCTAACAGATCCCACAAGTCCTCCAGATCCTAACAGATCCCACAAGTCCTCCAGATCCTAACAGATCCCACAAGTCTTCCAGATCCTAACACATCTTAATAGATTCCGAAGCCGCCATAATTTCCCAACTCACCGGCATCACCCATGGAGCTGAAGATACTCTCGGTGACGGTCATGATGGTATCGGTGGCCTGGTCGTAGCGGCCAATGGGCTCGCCGCGGCTGGCGTAGTGCCGCACGTGCTGGAGCAGGTCGCCAAGCGCCTGGCTGACCACAACCGCCGCCGCGCCCACCTGCTTCAGCAGCTCGCCGTCGTCTGTGGCAGAGCGGCACGCCTGCACGCAGCCCTCCACCGAGCGCTCCACCAGCCTGCCCGCCTCCACCAGCTGCTCCTGGCACACCGGCGAGCTGATGGTGGGGCTGACCACCTGGGGGGGGCAGCAGAAAGAGAGCCACGTCCGAGGATGGCAGAGACACGGGGGAGAGCCGCGATGGAAGGGGCCGCCGAGTAATTCCATTACGAGGAACAAAAATTTAATTTCTGTTCATTAGCAGAGTGATTGTGGCTTAAACGGCTGCATGAGGTCAGCGGGGTCCTGCAGCCCGTCACCCTGGGGGCTGCAGCGAGCTGAGGGCGCTTAGATAATCGTGGCTTATTGGGAAGGTGGAATCGCAGTGCATGTGTGCGTGCGGCTACCTTGGCGCAGGCCACCAGCTGCGAGGTGGACAGGGCGCACTGCGTCGCCGCGGCGATCACCCGGTTCTGCAGCACTGTGTCTTCGGCCACCTGAGCCACGTTCTTGGCTTTGAGGACCAGCATGGCAGCAGCGTTGGCCACAGCTTTGGCCAGGTTCATCAGGATGTCCTGAAAACATGGCCAGACAGGGTCAGCGGGTGTGGACAGGTCTCCACTCATCACCAGTCCCCCACCCCCAAAGCCGCCGTTCTGGGGCTTTCCGGGGCTCATACCTGGAAGCGCTCATCCGTCTCGTTCTCGCCAATCTGCCGGAGAAGGTCACCACTGGCCTGGCCGATGCTGCCCGCTGCCGTCAGCACTGTCTGCCGGGGCTGCGGGGACACGTCACATGTCACACAACTTCCTGTGCCTAGATTACATCACTACCCCTAGTGACCGCCTCCGCCACAGGCAAACGTCTGACCATTTACTTCTTAAAATATCTTTATTAATGTTGTCATGGATAATAAAAAAAAGGCAACCAGACACTAGCAGACTGGGTCACGGAATGACGCCCCTTTCAGGACAAGCCAGCAGCACAGTGGGATGTAACATCGTGAAGGTTCGGCGGTCGGCCACCAGGTGGCGCTCTGCACCTCGCCAGACGCCGGCTCCACAGCCTTCAGCAGGTCGGACACGGCCCCCGCCAGCGTGCGCGCCGCCCGCATCAGCTCCTGCCCGCTGCCCAGCTCGTCCTCCATCAGCGCTGCCAGCAGCTTCACGCCTTTGGACATCTCCGTCAGGTTGGAGGAGATGGTGGTGATGGCACAGCCCACCGCAGTGTAGTCCGTGTCCGTGGGGTCGCCTGTGGGGGTGCGCAGTGCTGAGTCGCCCCTGCCTGACCCCGTTCTTTTTTATAACACCTACATCCGGAATTGGTTTCTCTCTTTTTTTGGAGAGGCTGGTTTTTGCGTGCTGGTCTGGAAGCAGCCATTGCAGGTGTGACGATTCTTGGGAATTGAACATAAAACTTAAAAAACGGGTCAAGTTTTATTTTAATGATCACGCAGGCCGGCTTTTTGCCCGGGTTTGTGCCAAGCGGTTAGCGGTTAGCAGTTAGCGCATCTCAGCACATTACAGCTGCCAGCACAATACAGCCACAGACTAAACAGCGGGACTGACAGTGACGTGGATTTTGGGTGAGCGGCGCGGCTTTCGCCAGGCACCATAAGGACCCAAACAGGGAAGCCCGTGTTAGACAGATGGTGGACGGCTGATTAATTCAGCCTCAACGCCCCGCCGCGTCGAACTCGAGAGCGTGGCCAGATAGTGCAATTTCCAGGGAAGATCCTGAATATTCATCAGAGGCAACCGAAGGGAATCTATTCATTATTTAGAAGAACACCACAATCATTACTAAAAAGAAAGACAGTCCTATTCTGTACTACGCCGGGACTGTCTGAAAGCAAATACGAGAAGCAGGCTTCAGTAATTACTGTCAGTGGTTTGTGCATTTGGCCTTTTAAACCTTAAACTCTTTTTCCATTCTTCACGACGGCAGCTAAAAGTCCAGCATGGCAAACGCTGCCCAAATCTAGCCTTTTGGAGAAAGCCTGTCAGTTACAGGAAACCCCGTCAGTTACAGGAAACCCCGTCAGTTACAGGAAACCCCGTCAGTTACAGGAAACCCCGTCAGTTACAGGAAACCCCATCGCCACACGGAGATGTCAGGTTAGTCTGACGCCAGGTAAGTGCCACATCCGCGTACCAGCGGTCAGGTTGACGACAGAGGCGGTTCCCGCGGTGATGGCGTCCACCTGGGAGTGGATTTCGTGTTTCGACTCGTCCACTTTGTTCTGGATCCAAACCCTGGATGCCTGTCAGGAGGGGAGATACAAGGGGGGGAGACATGTAATGTCAGATCTCAGGAAAGTCGAAACACGTGACTAACATTAATGACCAAACACCCACAAGTATAACACATTTTTCCATCTTCGATACAACACAACAAATTATTCTTCAGAATATTAAAAAAAAAAAACAAAGCACAACTAAATTTGTTAATATTTGTAAAGTTTGATCATAAAACTGAGAAGCCTTAACTGGATTGTTCACCATGTGACCATAAACCAACCAGAAGGCGCAAAGAATGCGACGCATGTCCAAAAGCCGGCGGTGATGCGGGAGAGGCGGAGCCTGCATGCTCACCATGTCCTGCCCCAGCGGCGGCAGGTTGTCCACCTCCCCGAGATCCACCTGGGCCTGCTGGACGGCCTGCATGCTGGTGTTGATGGTGCCCATCAGGGCCTGCTGCGCCGAGCTCTGCGATCACACGGCAGTGTCACGCACCCGTCGCTCTTTCACCCGCCTCCATAAACAAACACCGATTTCACACCTCGCCACTCTCCATTTCCACAACATTCTGGAACATTCCCGTATGGCCGCAGCGTCGACGCTGCACGCGCTCACCAGCGGGGGCATGTGTCCTCTGTGCATCTGGCCGGTCGTGATCTGCTGCTGGGCTGATGGCATGGTGCCCGTGTTGAAGGCCTCGGGCCCGACCGAGCCGGAACGCATGACAGCGGGCAGCGCCACCGAGCCGTGCTCCACGCGGCCTACGCGGTTGAACTGCTGCTGCAGGATGGTGGACCTGATGGGATGGTGCCACTCTCCATAATTATCATTAACCAATCACATTACTCTCATTATCATTAACCAATCGGACTACTGTCCTTAATTATCATTAACCAATCTCACCAGTCTCATTAATCATTGTTAACCAATCACACTATGTTTGTTAATCATCATTAACCAATCATGCTACTCTCATCAATGTTTAATTTTTCTGAGGAGAGCCATATTTGGAAGAATACAGTTGGTACTACTGCCCCTTCCACGAGAGATATAACTCTCGGCATGGACTATATTTCTTGGTTACTTGAAATAAGATAAAAAAGTGCACTGGGCTCTGAAAAAGGAGACATAAAAAGGGACAATATTTACTCTAGAAACAAAATAGAGTCAAAATCTCGGAAGTGGAGTTTACTGCTTGGTAAAATTACCCATATTAAAATAATTTAGAAAATCAAGGTTCCAGTTTTGACTTCCTTCGTTTAATTCCTTCCAGATTACGATGCAGATCATGGCCCCATAAAGGGAGCGAAGGCTCAGTAGCCTGCAGGCATGTGTCACGATGCCCTTGGACCAATCCGCTGTCTGTGAGACACTCACTTCTTCGGAGAGACCGATTCCTCGAGCATTGTGGACTCCTCCTCACCCTCCAAGCCGAAACGGTCCTTACTCTGCTTCTGTTGTAGTAATAAAACCAATCGATCAATCAACCATTCATTCAGTCACAACAAGGCGGTTTCGAGAAACATATTTAAATTGGTTTTCACTTAAAACATTTAACTGCATACTGATCATGCTGAATAAAGTAACGCAGTAATTAGAAGGACAGAGAAAAAGAATCTGCTATCATACATCTAAATGCTCGTCATGTCAGAAAGCCGCCACAGATCGTACTTGCCTTTTTAAGTATGATATCTATATATCCGGCAATAAGCTGTGAGATCTGCTCCCCCTCCGTCGTCTGGACAGAGTAGTAGCTCTCCTGATACTCTCCAAAATCCTATAGAATTAGAAATGAACAATCACTGATTTTGAGATGGAATTGGGATCTGATTCACAGTCAGAAGTGTGACAAGGTCATTCTGACTGCACTTTGAGTAGCAGCAGACAGAACCGCATTTAAAGACTGTCATGTTACATTCGAGCATCTTTGTTGACATTTAAGATACATCTCTCACTTTGAGTTCTCTTAGCCCCACCAACAAAATCCCAGTGTGCCCAGGGACACTGACAAGAAGCACGTGAAGAAGTTCCACAAGATTGTCACACATCCTTCACAATCATTTCCATAATCTGCCATGAGAAGAACCACCACCTGGTTGCATGATGATTAAGTATAGACACATCATGCATACTACATCCATACAACACAGAAATCAGTGTGGATAGGCAGCCACAGCACCCACCACCTAGCGATTGGTGGCAGTGATCTGAGGTTCACACTGATGACACTCCTGGTACAGACCCATGTCCCATGAACCTCAGCCCTACCAGAGTGAAGCTCTTGGGAGATGCGGCCCATCTCTTCACTGTGGTCAGGGGCCATTCTTGCACCACATCTTTGGTCTTCTCGTCCACGCGCATCACAGACTCTTTGGTAATGCCCAGCAGTCGTGGGACCAGCTTGTTCTTGCTCTTCAGCTTCTCCTGAGGACAGAACAGCCTGCTGTCAAACAAAACCAGGACTGCAGGATTTGGTGCTAAATCCGAATTCCGCTTTTTTTTAGGTGGAAGCAGAGGACGAAGCTGACAGAACACATTGGGAGAGAGATCTAGGGCAAGGCCAAGACGACCCTTTACAGGAGGGAAGCTTATGAACGGGTTAAAGTAGGAGAACGGCACAACACAATCAACTTCATTAAAAATAGCAGAAATATCTCCCATGATGCACTGCTCACAGACAAATGCTGCCCTTTGTCCTATTAATAGCTGTTCTCCACCAGAAGACGCATCTCCTGGGCCTTGGTTAGACTGGAGCAGATCACAAACATGCAAGCAAGCTAATGATTTAGCACCCAAGTAGAATACACAAATAGATTACTATTACAGAGTGACTTCCGGCTCCCATCCCATTTACAGGGAAAGTGATGGTTGCTTAGCAACAGTCCATTAGTCAGAAGAATGCAGCTAATATTTCAAAGAATTCCTCAGTACTTTTGATAATCCTCAGTTGGAAGTGTGCGCATGAGACTTTTTTTTTTTTTTTTAATTCAGGCTGTAAACCACCAGCAGCTACTGGAGATCACATGTCAAATGTCTCAATAACTGGAATAACAATTATATAATGTATTTAAGTGGTGGAAAGGGCAGCTATTCCTAACAGCATCACTGTTATAGAGATACCTCTGTTAAAGACAGGTTTTAATTAAAGACAGTCGTGATACCTGACTTCCTGTTGATTTACAACTGAACTAAAGCAAGGGGCGGGGACCCAGACCAATGGGGGGCCGGTGTGGGGGCGGGTTTTTGGGATGTGGCCTCTCAATCAGCCAATGACAGTGGGTCCCCAGGACTGGTGTTGAGAACCACTGTTTTGTTTTTTTTTTTGTGGCTGACAGACGTCACCCCAAAAAGCTGAACCCACATCGGCCCTCCATGGAACAGGTCCCGCACCCCGGAGCAAAAGTCCAAAAAAGCAAAAACTTAACTTAACTGAAGGGTTGGGGGGAGGGGGTAATAAAATTAATGCTACACAACCAGTGAAATCTCCGGAATTAATGCCGGTGTTTCACAGCCAAACATCACGGCGTCGTTTTCCAAGCATTCATCGCGTTTTCCAGCAGCAGGTGGGATTAATCCACACAGGGCGGTTTACGGAACAATTATCCACAATATGCTGCCATGTTTGTTTAAACTGATGAAAGGCCTTGTATGCATTCCTGTTGGCTTATTATATGCGAGTATGACTATTACTAATAGACATTATTAACTTTTAATGAGTAACACAGAACCTGTATGACAAGAAACAAGCTCAGGTAATAGGATTTTGCTCTTTATTTAGCAATGGCTTTATTGGGGGGGGGTTTGAATCCCGGTCGGAGTAGGCACATTTCCTTTGGGGCCTTAAACCCCCCCCCCCCAAAATGCTTCCAGGGGTGCAGGAAGAATGACTGACCCGGCTCTCAAGCCTTGATTTTCACTGACTTATATGTGTCTCAAAGGAGAGCATGATGGGATATGTGGAGAAAACATATCATTCCAAAGTACACATACTAGCACAAATTTAAAATGGTGAGCATTTCACTCAAAGGTCCGGTTCACACCTGCCACTGACATGCGTCTCCATATGAGTCTCGACTGGCCGCTTATAATCAGATCTCACTTTCCCACAACTTATTTAAATAATTAATCACGTAAATCACTTCCGTATGCAGAATCTGACAAACATTAAAAGGAGGAGGAGAAGAAATCAAAAGCTATCAGCGCAGTCCAGGGTAAACAAAACGCCTAAGTGGGTTATAATGAACGCCTAATACTAAAAAGGAAATAAATATATCTATAAATAAATGAATGAATAACATATTTTAATAACCAATGTGTCCGTTTCTTTTTTAATAATTCTTAGCGCTCATTTTCTATGTATAATCTGTAAATTGTATTTCGTAATAACGTTGTGATTTTCGTTCGACCATCGTTATTATAAAATATTATTTCACATAATGCAAATGTGATTTGTGATTTCACAATAAAGTTCAACTTTTCACAATGTAGGTATGCATTTTTATAGTGCATCAACACGATGCAAATGTACATGTTAAAGAGGTCTTTCAACACTTAGGTTAATACTTTTCTATACAAGGGCAAAGGGTTCAGTCTGTAATGCATTATGCTGGTTTGTCATGATATTTTGGTTTTTAATCTTAACCAATGAAGCTCAAAATTTGTGAAAATTTCAATGAAGAGCTTCTTTGTTTTGTCTGATTTGATGAATTACGGCCCTCTTCACACCCGGTAATTACATACGTCCTGGGTAATGCGATCACAAGCGGACAGAGCTAAACACAAGCCCCCGCACAGCCCGATATAAAACTATATAAACAATTACACTATTATTATGTTTCTATCAACATATTACGTAGGCTATTGAACTCACATTCTTACCTGCACGCTTTAATTTTGCTTTCATGTAATTTGTACCGACACGTTTCGCCGATATTAATAAAGCGTGGAGCAGCTTTGACATAGATAAGGAAGCGTCATAAAAGCACGCATTAAATATACAATCTGTGCAAATTTCAAAACATCTTTTATAGATCATTTCTTACACTATTTTTCCCTGGTTTGCACAGAACATTAATGACGTGCACTTCGAACATGTAGGTTTGAAAGTAGATTCAAACATGAAAGAAAATGTGTCAGCACACAGAGGCCAATTCGGCACTGATAGACGTTCTGACATAAATCATGTTAAACACTGTTAGCGCATTTAACGAGTACGTACTTCTGCACACACGAGGACGTATGCTGAGTAGGCGGTCCTTCAATGCGGCCCCGGACACATTCGCATTCACACTGCTATAAGAATTTTGCCATATGTGTCCCAGACCACCTCCAAATGTGGTTTGAGCGATCGGATCTCGATGCGTTTTCAATCGGTTTTGGGCGCGTTCACACCTGTGTTTAGCGCTGTCCACCTGTGATCGGATCACCCTGGGTGCATCGTAATACCAGGTGTGAACAGGGTCAAAGAGAACGACACCTACTGCACTTTTCATGGGATTCATGGGAATCGCTCCACTCTGGTCCTCTAACACCTTACCTTCACCAGGAAGAAGGACACTCCGTATGTTCGGAGGGACCGCGCCAGCTTCACGTACTTCACTTTGGCTTCTATCTCCGTCATCTCCCCGCAGTTCTTGTGGTCCTGCGGACAGAGGGAAATGCCACATGCTCTCTGCCTGCCCTCGAACCGCGGCCGGCAGGTCGCTAATACGGATTGGGAAAAATAATAGCCTACATTTTGTAAAAAAGAAACTGCTAATTAGATCAGCGCTCTACATTTCTGTCAGGTCACTGGAAGCCGGTTTGGTCTAAAAATGATTTTGGGGTTAAAGTTAATTAAATCGTGAAGGCAGGAAGAGAAGAAGCAGGCCGGAGCTGCTGATGCAAGTCTAGGATACGAGACCCAGTCAAAAAATACTGTAATAGAGGAAGGGAGGCTGCACAGGACTATGCTGAAGGTGCCTTGGTCTGGGCAGAGGGCAGATGACTACAAGCAGGACAAATGCCATCAGATTGCAATAAGATACAGGCTGTCAGTGCAAACACAAAAATAAAAGTACTGTAAATTTACCTGGAAGATCTTCTTTTCTGCACCCCTCTGTTTAATATACTCTTTAGGGAGAAACTCCTTCAGACTGAAACATGAAACGCAGGACAGGAGGTTCATGCCGACATTTCCCAAGCACAGTCTACATTCATGGTTCCCCACTGTCTCAGAAAAACCTGCTTTCAGACTCAAATAGCTTGTTAAAGAGACAAATACAATAAAACTCCTCAAACCACATAAAAGCAAAGGAGACGTCTATAAACCCAAAACATTCAAGAGGGTTCGGAGAGCAGAAAACCTCTGAGAGACATAGAATGGAGTTTATCGATTTGCTTTTTCTTGATACGTGTAAATATTTGGGAAGACAGAGAGAGAAAAGTGAAGGAACCCAGCACCGTGGGGACAGAGGCTTACTCGAGGAACCCGGGCTTGTGTTTGTGTTCCACATGAGGGCCGAACTGGATCTGAGCTTGAATCCCAGCAAACTCGCAGGCTTTGTCGAAGGACACGGGATGCGAGCCGTTCAGGATGTCATCACGGGCCTACGGGGGACCACACAGCCCCGTTACCCCAACACAACGATTCAGTGACTTTGGAATGGACTCGAAGTTCATGGGAGTTTTACTTACACAAAAATGTTCTGAGGGCAGAAAGAAGAATGGTTATGTCTCTGAACCAATCAATCAAATTGTAGAGGAGGTGGGTCCAACCAACAAGAGGAGTCAGGAACAGCCAATCAGATATCTTGGTCACGCCTCCTCTAGTTGCATGGGCCCACCTCCTCTACAATCTGATTGGTTCTCTCTCTGAACCAATTATTTTTTGTTCTATCAGAATTTTTTGTGCAAGTAAATCTCCCATGAGCGGACTCATACTGATGAAATATATAAAATCGACAGAAAACTCAAAATGTGGCTGACCTACATTAATTTACTTTACATTTCACCTATAGCTTATCTTGAATGTATCTTAAAAAAAAAAGGCAGCATTCCAGCTGAAGAAATGACTACCACCACATTCATTTATTGTTTTTAATATGTAACAATAACATACACCCCATGCAGAGAAATGAGATGGAAAGATTACATTTGATTCTTTTTGTAATTATGGAATTAATGGTACCCCAAAGTGTGTGTAATCCATCTGGCTACTGTGATCTTAATTTCAGAAATGCTGAAAAGTTGGCAAAAACACTAGACAGGAATTAATCCCCTGGTAACACCCCACCCGTCCCCTGGGGGGAGCGATTTCAAACCTCTGAGTCCCGCTGCGCCTGACCCCTAACGTTTCAGAGTGCTTAAACGCGACCGTAGCTGCACAGATAGCAGGCAGCTCACAGACACACCGGACCGGCCGCAAGTCAAACCCGCGCCTTCGTTATGGCCTCTGCACCAGTGACCGCCGCAGTGCTGACAGAGGCAGATGGGCCCCGGCTAAGCGGGTCAGCCCAGAGCACAGGAGCCGCAGTGTGCCAGCAGACATCACTGCAAAAGGCGGCAGCTTTCCGCATACTGGATTTCCCAGAATCCACCTGAGAAAGTTCCAGAGGCTGGTCCTTAGCTCCCGAGTCACTAAGACAGATTGCTGGTGTTACTGCTGGTTAGCAAGCCAGCTTTTAAATTTAAATGAGGCTTTTTTAAGTATCTGCTTAAAACTTGGGTCCATTAATTAGTGCCTTGATTTCCCCAGTTACCCTGGGAGAAGTCGTGCTCTTTTGGACGACTGTGGCAACCAGCCCAGACATATTTTACAAGACACACAAAAAACAAAAGGCTGGAGTATCCAAACATGAGTATATTTATGGGCTAAAGTCTCTTCACGGCTCGGATGGCTCTGTGACTGCAGCGCATCTGTTAGGACCTTTTAAATTACTATTCCCCACAAACAAAAATGGTCATTAAAGGAAACAGTAGGGATACTGAGCTGCATGTAGACCGGTA